AGTTGATATCATGTTTTTTTTTCATCCCACCACACCTGCAAATCGGGATTTTCTAATTTCCGGCTTTTTGGATTTTTCCCCTTTTTTCCTTTTTTTCTTTTCTTTTCCCAGAGAAACAGGCGCCAAAAGCGTTCTATTAGAGGTTTTACGGTATATGAAAGGTCACTAACTCATAAGGAAGAATTTTGCTCTCTGTGAACTTGATAATCATCTCAATAAACATTCCAGCCATCGCTCTATGCATCTTGAATTGAGGGTCCATAATCTTTTCGATAAGGTATGGGGTCTCGTAAATCGTATGATACAATGGGTAAGTTGGTGGTGCATCCAATGATGAAGTGATAAAAAAGACGATTGGGACACCTAGATAATCGAAAAAGGGCAGGTGATCACTTCCACCGGCTGGAATTCTTTGGTATGGGTGTGTTGACCGGTTGTTTTTGGATGGCTCGTAGAATTTCCTGAAAACAATCCTCATGGGATGTGTGTTACTTAAAATTGTTGCCTACCATGAATCATACAGTGTTTTTCTACCATTCTCAACTTCAAACTGGTTTGGATGTTCTACACTTGCCGCGGCTTCTCGAAGCACATTTGCCACTGTTGGATTGGACAATCCAAGTCTGTGAATTACTTCTTAAATGTCATAAAAATCCAAATTATAGGCTTACAAAGTCTGGTTTCCGCCGATTAGGTCCATATTGATGACAGCAACTGCGCGTCTCATTAATTGAACACGGTATTCTTCGCAGAATTCAGTAGAACCAATAAGACCATGTTCTTCAGCATCCCAATGTGCAAATAAGATAGATCGGGCTGGAATAGAGAAGTAGAAAAGTTAAATTGGGAACAAAACATGTGGGCGATAATATGAAAAATATTTTATCAGTGGGTTTCTGATATTTTTCATAGACTCCAAGAGACCGTATTTGCTCTAATAGAGCTTACTTTATATGTGCACGCTTAGCTCAGTTATCTCGGTTTCGATAAGAGATATCAAAAATCTTTCAACTGATAATATATTAGTGATATTATGATAAATAAATCATCTTCTGATAATTTTTTGATATTACTTAGAGGAACCGAGATAATTCAGCTCAAAGTGCAAATATAAGACATGCTTCTTTAGGGAAAAATTCAGGACGAATACGGTATTTGGTTTCGAAGCGCGTGAAAAAAAATAATAAATACCTGGAACCCATCCAGTGGAGTTCTGATAAGATTTTAGTGCTCTTGACACCTCCAAGAGTGTAGTGGTCCCACTATTTGGATCAACAGCTCCATATGTCCATGCATCATAATGGTTGCTCACGAGCACAAATTTTTCCGGCTCTTGATTTCCTTTTATGTAGCCCAAAACGTTTTGGATTTTTCTAAAAACCTTTTTGTAGCCTGTGTAGTTTAGTTCACACAAACCGTTCTTCATTCTTCGCGTGCACTATCATTCGAAGCTTCTGATTTTTTATCAGCCCCGGCCCATAACGATAAGTGACATTTAGACTTCCTGGAAATATATGGTTTGTGACACGGAAATGTGTTGTGAGAATGTGTATATACCTTGAAAATCAGCAATTGTAGCGTCCCCTTTCATATTTTCAAACAAATATTGGGCTTCAGAATAGGGAATCGGCAGCATTGGTATAGTGGGAATCTTCTTCCCGTTTATCAACTAAAAAATACTTGTGTTAACTGTACACTCGAAACAAAACACACCTCCTGTTCGGTTTTCTCTTTATACAACTCGCCGATAGACGGAAAAGCTGGTGTTCTTGGATCTCCGAACCCAACAAACACAGTTCCACGCTGGACAGCATGTGGTGGCATTTTGTCTGTTCTTCCATAAGTCTCATCTTCAAAAAAATCATTTTGAAGAGAAATCTTGTTTCTGGTTCTCACTTATTCCAGTTCCCAAACCAGCGACTTGCATGGGGTCCGAGTAGATCAAACATCCCTTGGCGCCTTTTCTCACCGCCATTTGAGCGATATTTCCTCGAAAATTGGAGCTGTATCTGGCCAGAAGAATTTTATCCTGGAGAAAAAACATTAAAAATTTCCACTATGTACATGAGACACCTTTAAATCAATACCCAACGCCTCTAGGTGCTCGATATCCTTGGGCGTCGCTCGATTCACATATACAATCTCTCCTTCCACATTTCCAGCAGCAGAGTAAGCCAACCATTGAATCTCAGAAAATGGGTCGTTTTGCTCCTCTCTTATCAGTGATATGCTCCTTCCTGATGTGCGATGCACCACTTTTCCAGTTTCGTCAGATATCTCTACTTGGTTTGGAGATGTCCAATTAGGATACGAAAGTAGTACGTTGTACTCGTTGAAATGCACATTTTCCAGTCCTTGGTTTATCATTTGGTCCCGAATCAATTCTGCTACACGTAAGTTGTTCTCTGTTCCGGCTACATGTGCTTTCTTGGTTAGTAGGTGAAGGTTGGTGCGCATGTTATCGACGTTGATCAGTTCTCGAATTGAGTAGGCCAGGCTGACAGGAGCTGAAAAGCAAAGTAAGCTGAAAATCTTTAATTTTCCCAAAAATGATTTGCTATGTACAGTAGCAGACAATAAAGTCTATTATTTATTTTTTTTTCCTCTCATTGAAACATGGCCAACCACTGGCACAATTTTCCTATACTGTATTTATCTAATAGAAACACTTCCTATACGTGAATTTTAAGCTCAATTATCTTGGTTCCTGTGATAGATATCAAAAAGTTGTTTGCAAATAAAATATTGGGCATATCATGATTAATAATTTATCAGTCGAAAAATTTCAGATATCTTTTGAAGGAACCGAGATAATCAAACCTACAATTGTCGAAATTTATTCTTTTGGTTTCAGTGTTATAAAAACTTTTTAGAGTATTGAAAAACGTCTAAAACATTTTTTCAAAACTAAACTTTCACGAAAAAAACTATATAATTTTGTTCGGAACTGTAATTCAGAATTTTTTAGTTCTAAATAAATTGCAACGATAATAAATCTTAACACTTCTAATATAAGGGCCCCACCGTGTGAAGTTTGTTTTCTATTATCTCCATTCCTATGCAAGATATCAAGATTTTGTTAACTGGCATAATATTTCTGATATCATGATAAACATTTTATCAGTTGACTATTTTTCCTAACTTTGACAGGAACCAAGAAAAAATAGCTAAAAGTTACAAGTTAGAGAAACCCCTCTCTCACATGTTGATGGTACTCTAATTTTCAAAAAAAATGCGGAAGTCACTGACCTTTAACTGCAGACTTCTGAGCATTCAAATGAGCTCTATATGCCGTATTCGAAATAATAATTGTAATAGCTACTGTAGACACTGCTGCCAGAATCACTCCGATGGATCTCATTCTGTGAGACTCGGTCTTCTTTTGGAATACTTTCTGAAATGTCCGTTTTTTTCCGACTTCAATGATGTTTTCTGTTCCCATCGCCGCCTTTTTATTATGGGTAGTTCGCTCATGCAAATAACTATAAGCCTATTACGGTCATGTCTGTACTCACTTCGCTATTCTTGTTCTGCGATTTCAGACAATTACATCCCGGAGTAAACCGGTTCCTGACTGTTATCATTTCCAGGAGAAAATCTGAAAACAATAGATGATAGGAACAAGGAACTGTCTGTACCAGACACATAGTTTTTAGTTGGAAACTCTGGAAGGAGCAAAAAGGAAAGAAGAAAACTCTGACAGGAAAGAAAAATTCAAGAAGGTGAAGGCAAAAGAAAATTCTACGTCGTCACAATGTGCCCCATAAAATTATGATGGGTATGAAGAATGTATGTGTATTGGCACATGGATTCCTATCAACATTTTATCTACACTGTCCAGTAACTAAAAAAGGGGCCAATGAAGAAATCGATTCTTATCACCAGGAGCATTTTATGAGGTTGTCAAGAAACCTGTCAATCAGAATGTGTATAAACAGAAGGAACTGTTTTTGTGACTTCCTGAATGTTAGTTCCAGTTCATCGTGACTTCTTACATGGAATGACTCCCAAGTGTTACCCTCAAAGTGAATCAAGTGTGCTGAATTTAATGGACATAATGAAAAAAAAAAGTTAACCTAGGATTTTTGAGATATTGAAAAATTTTTTGATTTTTTCAAAAAATCAATATCCCAATCAAAAAAAAACTAAAAAAAATTATTCTTGATTGTTTAATTAATTGTCTATCTACTGCTTTTTAAATTTTAACAAACGGACATAAACTGACAAAGTTATGATTTTTTGAAAATTTAGACATTTTTTGGTACTTTTTGGACCATAACTCCCAAAAAAAAAATTTTTACCAACTATTCCGTTTGGAATCTAAAATAACTTTCAACGCTCTATCCAACCATATAGGTCACGATTTTTTTCGAGGGTAACACTTGGGAGTCATTCCATGTTAATAGGTTTAAGAACCCTTTTCCTCGGAAAAACTGTTTTCCTTTCTACCTCATCATTTAATGATCCAATTATTGTCACTTGATTTGTTTTTCACATTTTTCACGCATTCCTAGAACTGTTTTTGTCATCTCCCCGCCTGTAGACCACACACCAACAATATAACTGGTTTCTTTCCGAACTACTATTTTCCCTCTGAAAATAGATAGTCTGGAAAATCTGTAATTTTTGAATTTTGCTGGTTTGTAGACTCTACAGTGCTGGAGAACCCGGAAGTGAGGTTTTTTTTTCATTCTCTTAAAATTCTAAAACCCGGAAGTGTTCTGGTTTTGTTCTAGGTCATGAATTGAATGAGTATATGGTTTATTGGTTCAAGCAGTATATGGAAATGAATCAAAATGCGAAAAAATGAGTTTAGAATTTTCGAACTGGTCTGGTGGACTTAACGTCTGAACATTCTGCGAACGCGGTCTGAAAAAAATTCTCAAATTAAAAAAAAACATTTCTCAACTCACTCCATGCTCTTCGGTACCATGGTGGACGGATAGTGTGCTTGATATCAGTGGCAATGCGATTCACATCGCGTTTAACATCGCTTTCTGAATTTTTCAGAAAAATTTAATCCCAAAAAAAAATTTGTCTAACTTACCAATAGACATTTTTAGAAGACCAACAGAAAAATGATAATAAAGAAAGTTTGCTGAGACTGAAAAAAAGAAGTCGTGCGACTGCTAAAATGAGACAAAGAATGTGGGTGTTGCCCGAAATCGGTGTTGTGGTCGGTTATGTGACTGTACCGGTACGCTTGTTGTATTGGGCGTCATATGCGCAATTTGATACGCGAAATGGATCAATAATTGCTGGGGAAAAAAGAGAAAACAGTAAAAAACGGAAGTTCCACAGTCAACAGAGACATCATTATTGTTTATTTACTTTTCGATTTTCGGCATTCCAAAAATAAGTTGGTATATGTACAGACACTACTATGGGAGGTGGGGAAACAAGGGTTCAAATACCGGAAAAATTTTCTAATCGTCAGTGGTTTTTTGTCATTATCATGAACACAAAATAGAAATTATTCAATATGTTCGTGGAGCTTCAAACATTTTTTACTAGATTCCACATTGAATCCTTTGAACTGGGAAGCCAATGGTTCTCGACGCTGAATTGAGAGGTATCTGGAAAAAATACATTCAGAATTTTTACCGGAAAATATAGAAGGTTACCCCACGAGAATACTGGATTGCATGATGTCGACAGCTTCTCTTCCGCATTTTTCCTCAACACGTGGCATGACACATTTTAGCACTTTCTCCAAAGCTTCACACTTTTCACCTTCAATGTCGGCGATTGTTCGAAGCGCTTTACCGAAGATGGATTGAACGTGTTCTTTCATTGACAGGAACTGATCATCGTCGTTTTCCAAATCCTGAACCAAGAAGGTTTTTTGATTTAACTAAAACGTATTATCTTGATTTGTGGGATCTTGAATTTTTTAGGAATTTGAAAATTTCGGAATTTCACAATATTTCGATTATCAAATTTCAAAGTTTGCGAGTACTACGGTTTTCAAAATTTGGAATTTTTTAATCACAAAAGCTCACAAAAATGGTGAAAACCTCCAATTGAAATTTCATTCCAAAAATTGTCAAAAATTTTGGAATTTTAAGGACTCCGATTTGTGCCGTTGGTCATCGATCAGTTTTGTGACTTTGTAGCTTAATTGGTAGCTGCGCGGTTTTTAAATATTCTGCTCAAAAGTTTAACTTTTCAAAAGTTTAACTTCTCGAGCGACTTTGGAAACAAAAATTCATATTTCTCTAATGTAAAGTTTGTTTAAATCAGCCCCTCGAGGAATTGAACTTGCAAGCCCACCGTTAGAGGTGCAGCGTCGCTACCAGCTTATCAACAGTGGTGGAAAACGTTCCAGAGACTGATCACATACAGTACGGTCAATGAGATATACCAAACATTTCAGTCGATTTTCGATCAATTCAGCCAATTTCAAGAGTCTGAACCTCGGCTGTTCAGTTTCTAATCACTTTGACAACTTTGGAGGGTGTAAAACAGAAACAGATTGAAAACTTTGTATTCACAGAATTTTCTGAAAGTTCCTAGTTTTTCATCTACTCCCCCATTTTTGAAAGGCATCATTTTAAGCCCACTTTTGTACTTAAAACGTGATAAAATAGGTGTCTTTAAAAAATCGGCAAATAGTTTCAAAACTGGAAATGTTCAAAAATTCAATGAATGCAAAGTTTTTATTCTAGGTCTGTTTTACACCCTTCAAAAGTTTCAAAACAATAGTAAAGTTGACAGCCGAGCTTCCAACTCATAGAAATGGTTGAAACAGTCGAAAAACCACTGAAAAAATACGTTTTTATATGTCTAAATGACCGTTACGGTGTATGAAAGCGGAACTATAGATACGCTATGTGTCACCCTTTGAACATTGTAAACCGTCACACCTGCACGCATACCGTAACCCCTTGAAACCCCCCGAAAAATCTTTATTTCAAAAAGATGCTATACCTTGTTAGCAGTGAGCTCTGCTACTTCTTTTGTCGCTTTGATATGTGTTCTTGCTATTCTTCTCCCCGCTGAATACCGCGTATAGTTGTAGGCCAGCATTTCCTGTATGAAATTACCAATACCTTATTTTGAACAATCTATATACCTCAAAACACGGCTTGGTGTATTCCCCAACGCCAGTTGAAAAACAATGATACACCGTATTATCAATATCCGGTTCCGGGCATTGTCTGTCGAGTAAGATGCGCAGGTTACCATCGGTGTTTTTCAAGTCGTCCAGTCTCCAATAAATCGCGGTTCTAAAAATAAATTGAAACTAATTTTTCATTAGGGAAGGTTTTTCACCTGGACTCGCCAAATCCATATTGACACTGTAGTTGCATTTCGTATTTCTCACACAGTTGACGAAGCCCGTCTTTGAAAGTGTCAGCTTCCATGGAAACGAATCTAGCAGCAAAGGAGTTGAAGCCAAGAGTTAAAAGAAGCTAAAAGATTCAGGATTTTAGGCTCTTTCGGCCCAAAATTAGTCCCCTACTTTCATATCTTTTGTAAGCTTCGTGTTGTAAACCGACTGAAAAACTCTTTCCGCTCGTTCATGTCCCAACGTGTTACACTCCATGAAATAGTCTTCATATACATTCATTCTGTAAGAAATACCAAGGTTTTTCGGGTTCATTTGATTCATTTGATCTCCTTTAAAGAAGATACAAATACGCGTGACAGCTACATAGAACTATCAAGATGGTACGCGTATCACATTAGCAAGTTTATTCTAAATTTGACCTTATGATTCTTGTAACATAAAGAAAGCTCAAAAAACATTTACCTCTCTCTTGATGTTGCATTTTCAGTGGCGAACAGGAAATTTTTGTAGGCTGAAAAAAAAATAATTTGGGGGAAAAAACATTTAGGACAATCCTGACCTTTAGCTCCAAACTTCCTTGCCTCATCAAGTAATTCATTGGGTAGCCGATTGTAGACTATACTTTGTGTAATTTTACTCTCATTTTCTTTTAGTAAAAATAAGTAGAACAAAAATAAAAATACAGTTGTGCATTTTGTTTTTGGCATTCACAAAAATAGATAGACAACAAACAAAACAGGAGAAAACAACTGTAGTTGATAGTAGCTTCACTCACTGAGTGATAATGGTTGATATTAAAAAATGGTCTTGTCCGTACACTTTTATAATTTGGACAATGATAATGGGCAGTGTCAAGTCAGCAACAACTGAGAAAGAGAAAGAGAGTGAGAGATATCATCGAAAAGGCGAAAAAATTCTCACACCGTCGCAAAAAATAGCATATCAGTCGTTGGTCGATCAACGACAACGTCTTCTAGTTGTTTGATGTTCGGACAAGGTGAAGAACAGTGACGTTACGCCGGAACGTACGGTCTTAGAGTTTTCAAGGATGAAAATAGGAGAGTTAACATTTGGTTGCTGATTTGGGAACCTCGATCAGAGAACATTCAAGATTATAGAGATCATTGCGTCGTAGTTTGTAATCAAACGTTTTTCCCACATGTGATCGTCATGATATGAAGATTTTTGTAGAATTCTGTGACCAAAGAAGCAGATGAACTTGGTGTCAAATTGAGAAAAATTCGACCTTCCTAAAGAATGACCCTGAAATGAAAAACCTTTCATTCTCTTTCAGTGTATAGATCTCAAGAATTTTGAGGAGACCATACTTGCGACCGAGCCTTTTCCGGGCCCTTCGCAGGCCTTGCCATAGTTTCGTTCAGAAACATTCTTTTTAGACCAATTAAATTAGACATGATAGAACTTAGAAAGTTCTACAAATAGATACTATTTGGAGAACTGTGTCTTGTCTATGAACAAAATTATAGGTCATAAAATGGCCGGGCCTTGTCGCGTGGGCCGGGCCGGGCCGAGCCTTTGTTTTTTGTCTGTAACTTTGTTCAAAGTCAAGACACATTTCTCCAAATAAAATCATTCTGAAGCACTCGTCAAGTTCTATCATATCTAATTTAGTTGGTCTTAATTTATTGTTTCTGAAAAAACTATGGCAGATCCCGCGAAGGTCCGGCAATGGCCCGGTCGCAAGTATGAAGGAGACCCTGAAAAACCAAAATTGTATTTTTAAATTTGTTTTTTCAAAGCTGATTTTGGGGAGACATTGCCTTGGGGTTAGAAAAAAAAAGAATAATAAAGCAAATTACAAATTTTTTATAATAGACATGACTTTGGCTGGGCATAAAAACATGAAAAAACGTGTTGTTCAGTTGATTCAGATCGTTTTCGTGAGTTTGGAGCTCGGCTGTCACATGTCGGTTCATTTCAAAAATTTTGAAGATTACAAAACAGACCTAGATTGAAAACTTTGAATTCACTGAAGTTTCAAAAATGAAGTTTTAAAAGTGATCCGACGATTGACAGCCGAGATCCAGACTCCTGAAAAAGGTCAAAATCAACTAAACAACACGTTTTGTAAAAAATTCTACAATTTCTTATATTCTTCAAATTTTCATTTCGAACAATATTTCAAATCTCTTAATTACTTCAAAAAAACAAAACAACTACAGGGAAATTACAAAAAAATTAAATACACGAAAGCAGGAAAAAACGGGTATAAAACAATGTCATAAAAATCTGTGAAAAAAAATTGAATGGCATTGGAAAAAGAGCACACGGGAAAGAATCGGTTCGAAAAAGTACACATAATAATTTTTTGACTACAATAGCACACATTTTTATGGGGAAAGAGACTTGAGGTTTTTTGGCGAACAAAAACAAAAGATGAATTAAAATGAATAAAATGATATGTTAAAGAAAATGAAAGTGAGATGCAGGGTGCGACTAGAATAAGGGATGGTGGAGTATCATAAAGATCGGCCAGATTCTCTACGACACTAAAAGAGAGTAGGTATAGTGAAGTGATAATTATATACAAAACAAAAAAAACTAAATCTATTAAAAATAAAGCATATTATAGAAGTTATATTTTTTGGAGTTATTTTAAAAGAATTTTCCAAAAATTAAATAATTAATACTTATGGGAAAATCGAATCCGTTTCGGATTCATATGAGGTGGAATATGTGGGCTGGCTGGTGGCACGGATCGCTTTCTAGAGCCAGGTCTTCTGTTAGTAATGAAGTACTCCCGCATATTTTTTGACACTTCGCTCAAATGCTTCAACTCCTTATGGGTGTGCAGGAATCCCACATAATTCGGATCAATGGTTCGTTCTGACATACGGCAGGATGATGTTGATGATTTATCTTGCTCGTCAGAAGATACCAACTCATTTATGATGTTTCGATTTTCCAGGATACCACGACGCGATTTGAAGGGGCGGACTCTGGAAACATTAAAGTTTAAGAAATAATTATGTTAAAATTTCAAAGAAACTTACTGTGGTTGCATTTCAAATTGTTCTTGCAGTTTATTAAATCGTTGTGAAACAACAAACTTCAAAACTCCGTCAATCGAACCAGCACGTGTCAATGTTTCATGATCAAGTTCAAAACATAGGCGATCTCCTTTGGTTTGTACTGATTTCGGTCGCATTTCGATTCTGATCTTATCACTGTTGCTATCCATCAACAAGTTGATCACACAAGATCCCGACACTGCTTCAATAATTCGACCGCGCGATTTCATTGGAGTGAAATTGAAGTGTAGGTCAGCCAGGAAGACGAACGGTTCACGAACCATTGAAACTACAAGATGATGGTCGAAAACGACAAACGTTGTTCCGATGAGCGATGGATTAATTGGGCATGGAACGGCTTTCTGCTTACTGAGCTGCATGTAAAGTTGGTTGAGGCAGTCCAAATCCGCACCAGCATCAGTTTCAACATCTGGATTGGAGACAAATGCAGTGTACAGCATGATGACGTCGGTGTCGTTCATTCTTGTCACATCGGTACGATCAACGATTCGATTTCCTTTCGCAATTTCGTAGAGTCTAATGAAAGCTTGATGTTGGTGATAAGTTTTCATTTTCGGATCCATTGCACCATGTGGCATCATTCTTTCGAATTTCGCAAAGAATCCGTCGCATTGGGTGTAGAAGGCATTGTACAGATTCAGTTCAGCGGATTCACCTTTTGGTCTCAATGTGGTCGACTGCTCGAATACATCAATTGGATTGTAGAAGTTCTTCATCAATTGCTCATTGAAGGTTCTTGAATCAAAACCATCCGGTACAGTCTCTCCAGAATCGAATCGTAACAAATCGATGGTATCTTTATGAACACTTTGATTTATCCATGGGTAATCATCAAATACTTTTTCAGCAGATTGTGGAACTCGAATCTGAAAAATTGAATTGATTCAATATTATATTGGTCTACTCACTCTTTCAATCGCATAACGTCCAAGGGTGGCAATATGACAGTCCATCTCTGATTTTTGGCAGAACTCACTGAAATTTTATGATCTTTAATATGTTATGTCAAGCAAACATACCTCAGCTGACGAAGCTCATGAATTTGCCGCTTCATGGGTTCAATGTTGAAAAAGGAATTCATAACCGTTGGTAGGTCTATTTTCATTCTGGCAAGCACAGTTCGAATTTTTGTCAAATCTCCTTTGTGCTCAGCATGATGGAGAGCGTATGGTGTGAATGTATGCTTGCTGATTTGGTGGAGAAGATGCTCAAAGAGATGGAGATTCAGGTTGAACACTTTTTGATAGATCATATGGAAATACTCAAACTGGGCTTCGTTGAAGCGAAGACGTCTCTGAAAAAAATTATAAATTAAAATTTATCTGTATATAGCAAACAGCCACTCACGTTTGCAGCAACATGATTTTTCGCAGCTCGCATTGTTCTTTTGATATATTGCATAAACGCATAATACTCGTGCATCAATGCTGATATCGGTTGGCCTCCTTGGAACTTTTTGTCTTCGTCAAATCTCGGAACGTTTTCTTTGTCCTGTCCGTATACTCTCATCAAGCTATGTTGTTTCAAATGCTCTTGGATTTTGATATATCTTGTTTTACAGTACTTGGCTGTTGGTTCTTCAGCTGCTGGGCCCAATGTAAATAGTTCGAGAAGGAGTCGGAAGTTGTTGGCTTCGCTGATGTTGTGAATTCCTTCAAAGAGTCGAGTGTCCATTGTTTCCGAGTCCAACCGAACGTCTTTCTAAAATTTTGGGAAATTTTTATTTTCTCGAATCATCTTAAAAGTACTTACTTCAATGTTAAGTTCTTCAATCATTGTTTGCTTGGCCTTCTCCATTTTCAACTTCGCGTGATTTTCAAGATCCGTGAGATCTATCAGGGACTGTGTTGCTGTCAGGCCTGGACGATGTTTAACTTCAAATGCCTTTCTGTACGAGTCCACACTTTTTGATCTCCACGTTCTCATCTTTTTGGGCTTATCCAACGTAATCTTTCCTTCCTTGAGACGCGAGAAACGTTTATACAGTTCTTTAGCATTCTCCACGATGTTCGGTTGCACTTTGCTGACGATCAACGGGTTGCCAAACTCATCTACACTATTCTGGAGTGAATCTGTTGAGCTGCCAGATGAATCAGAATTAGTGGTGGATTCTTGACTGCGTTCTCGAATCGTTTGTGGAACGTTTGCAAAACATTTCCTAATCTGGGCATGCATGGTTTTTCTAGCCACAATTCGAAGTTTTGCATCATGGGTTGTGTAGGCGGGATTCTTAACTTCATATACTCCCTTCGGACGTTTATCCTCATCGACCAAAACCAAAACTGAGCTCGGACCATGCTCACAAACAAATCGACCTGTTAATCGCTCAACACCATTCAGTTCTTTCTTGATATTACAATGGGTGTAGATGAATTTGTCGTCGTAGTGATCCTGATGGAAAATGCAAGTACACTTTTTCACAAAAATGACCGTTCCGTCTGTACAAGCACCACAAAAGCCACCAGGAAGACCATCATCGTGCCAGTCTTCAGCGATTCCTTCGGCAAATAAGGACCCCATGAACCAGAGATGTCGGTAGATTTTGATATTGAATGGTAGCTCTCCTTCGGACACTGAAAGTTGAATATTCGAAACTTTGATTTTGAGAGTTAGGTCACTTACAGTATTGTTTGTACAGCTCCAAATCTCGGTATTTATCCAAATCAGTGAAAAACTCAATGGCTTTCTTCGGCGGGCCGAATTGTCGGGGCACTGTCCATTGCATTTTGCGGAATTCCGTTTTGCACATTATTTCATGAGGGAAGCTGTTCAAAATTGTGTCCTCATACGCCTGGTACTTTCTTGGTTCAATTGAAATGCGTGTGTACTTAAACCAGTCGTGTTTGTATTCAGGAAACTCTTCTGGAAAACGTTTACCGCGAGCGTCTCGAGACATAATGTAGACTGAAAGAAAATTGGTATTCATTGTTGAAAGTTCAAATAAAGCACTTACTTTTGAACTCAGAATCAAGGATGTGTGGACGCTGAATTTTTTTATGAAGTCCGGTCATGATTTTGATTCCTCCCGGGAAGACTGAGATTCTTCTCTCAATTGCTCTCCAAAGATTATTGATGAACATATCAGCAGAAGGTGGAATATTGTTATTCAGCGAGTTCTCTTTCTCAATCTCTTCTCGTCGTTCTATCAAATAGCGAATCTTCTTTTCATACTTTTCTTTTTCCGATGATATGTTGTATGATCCAGACACGTAAACTGTACTTTGTTGCTGGCACACCTCTCCTAGTTGCCCGATATTCTGCACAAATGGATGTTGATAAGGCGAGACCACATGTCTTACTGTAGCTGAAGCTTCAGCATCTTTCCCATTATTTTTATCGATTACAAAGTCCTTTGTGACATGTAGCGTTGGTGTTCGTGGCGTTAGTGTTCGCGGCGTTACTTTCCTCGGCGAAAGAAGATTAACATCGTCCGGAATGATAATTTTGATAGGACTTTCCTCATCGTCCTCCTCTTGGTCAGATGTTGCAGGCATTGGAGACATGATATGATATTGACGACGTTTCCAAGCAATAGCGTTCATTGCATTTGACCTCATGTCTTCGATTTTACTTTTACCCTTTTCCACCAAGTACTGGTACCAATTGACAATGGCTGTGATTCGAGAAAACTGTTGGGCGTTTTGTTTCAAAATAAACTCGTTCGTCGTGTTAACAGTAGGCTGCTTGTACTCCGTCATGTTAACGCAGCATCTTCCAATGGTTACTTCCTCATATCTCCATTTTGCAACCTGACTTTTCTTAACGCCACAGTGCACTGAGAGCAGCGGGACAAATTTGGTTGCAATGAATCGGAAGGCCTCACGAATTTTGGTCTCATCATCCAGTTCGTCCTTGAAAACTTGATCCAGTTGTAGTTTGCAATAGACTCCCATAATAAATTCGTAGAGCTCATCAATAAGATCACATGCTTGTCTGAATCCGTTCCACTTGCAAAGTTGTTTCAAATTGAGAGGACTTCGATTGGCTTGATGGAAAACGACTCCTAGTTGTGCTACTCGATCAATAACACCTTTCAAATCCGGATCGTTGTTGTCGATTTCAATTACTTCCCCTGGCATACGCAATGGTGACTGTTCGCGACGCCCACAAGGATCATACATACTTCCAGTGAGCAGAACACAAGAGGCTGCATAAACACCGACTGCATATGGGACACCAGCTTTGCGAAAGCTTCTTCGTCTTACGATATAGTTTCGGAATTCATTTCGATAAAGCTGCTCATTCTGCGCTTCCAACGCGTTTTCAGACATCTCGATTAGTCTCCAAAACGTGGAACGCAAGGCGACCATTGGATGGAAACATCTTCCTTTGTATGAATTCTGGCTTTCATCACCGTCTTGGCTGTCAACGGAAGGAGATCTTGACCAATGCGTTGCTGTAAGATCTGTTTGACCAGTTTCATAGGCTTCCGGAAGAAGCTCATCAGGTCCATCGGCGTCATCAGATTCTGATAATGAGTCCGCAAGGATTTCACTTTCGGGTTCTGGTGATGGTTCATATTCCGGCGAGAATGCGGCGTTGGACACTGGTGATTCGGATCCAGAACGTTTTGGGTCTGAGTTCATGTACTTCTTGATCCGATGTTTCATATCACTGGAGAGGTGCTTGACAATTTTCTTCATGTCCAGAACAAACTTGTAGTCGTTGAATGTAGGACAGTAATGAATACATTTGGCGATGTTGTCGTATAAATCATTGTCGGAGTTTTTCTGAGCGAAACGGTTCTGAACAATAAAAATTAATGGGAGTGAATGTCATGAAAACCATACCTTGTCGAAAAATCGGGAGAAGTATGCTGTGAAGACTCTCAGATTGAAATTTCGTGTTTTCCTCAGGAACGCACCAAACTTCTAAAAATTAGGAAATTAGTTTACAGCAGAAAACATCAAATACACTTACGTCTTCAGATTCTCTTATCACTAGCATCACAGTTCGTGAATACAATTTTTCCTCCGCAATTGCAATCATTTCTTTATCGAGCTTCTGGGCCAGTCTGTAGAGACTTGTAGTGACAGTTTTCGGTATCTTCACTGCAGCCAACGATTTGGCGGTTTCCTCTTCTTGACGGCGTTTCATTTCGGCAAGTTCTTTTTGTCTTTGAAGCCACATTGCTTCCATCGTTTTCTCCTCTTCCGACCGCTTCTTCTCTCGTTCCAAAACTTTCAGTCGTCGAGCTTCGTGTCTTTGACGATCCAACCGTCTCAGCTCTTCTTCTGATTCCGATTGGCTCTTCTCAGCATTTTTACGGCGCTTATCCTCTTCCAATTGTTTCTGTCTTTCCTTCTCAGCTGCTTCTTTCATAAGTGCTGATGACTCTCGGAGAATTGCTTGAATCCTCTCCATTTCAATTCTTTTCCTCTCTCGCTCATCCTTCTCTTTCAGAAGTTTAGTCGCCACTGCTTCGTCCAACTTTTCTTTTTCAATTGCAGCTTTACGGCGTTCCTTCTCTTTAAGCAATCTAGCTGCTTCGATTTCTTGCATCCTCTTGCGCTCACGTTGTTCTTCCTCTGCTTTACGATCTTTTGCGGCCTCTTCAGCTTCTTCTTCTTGAATCCGCTTCCTGATCCATTCTTTTGTTGGCACATCACCTCCAGCTGCTTTCAGTTCTGCAATATATCTTTGCTCTTTTCGAAAAGCCGTTTCCTTTTCCGAGTGCTTCAGACGATTTAGTCTTCTTGCTTCTTCTCTCTTATGCTGAGCTTGCAAGCTTCGTTGATCATATCGAATGAAGCCTTGTCTCTTGCTCAAATTCTTCATTCTCTCCGTCTCATAACGCTCGTTTTGTAGGGCAATGTGTCTGTCTTTTTGATTTCGGATTTTGGCATCGAGAAGTCGTCTTTCATGAGGCAATAGTGACATATAGTTGATATAACTCTGATTTACACTCTCCCGAAGGTTTCGCTTTTCTTCTTCCATCATTGTTCTACCAGTCATTTTGACTCGCGTCAAAATCTCCATCGCTAAGTACGAGAGGGCTGGAAGACCAAAGTTTGTCGGTTTCAGATTGTCTGTTGTGAGTCGCTGCATGATACGTCCTCGTTGTGCAATACGTGCCACACCATTTGCTGCACGAGTACTCGAGTGCTCGGCTGCTACAGTAAACGTGACCATCTCTTTCAACAAGTCACCAATGCTATCAATTTTTGCTGAATCTCCTTTCTCGAAAACTTTTGGAACTTTGAATCGTTTGTACCCGTTAACTCGGATTGCCTCTGAAAAAGGAAACACTGTTATTTTGTTAATAAACTTTGAATCACTTACTCTTCGTCTTTGTGATTTCTTGGCCAAGTTTGGGCAGATTACCATGATAGCATTCAAGCATTTCTTTGAATGCAACACCTTCCAAAGCCAACATTCTGTAACGGAGTAGATGTTTCTTGACGTGGCGATTCATTTTTCTTTTCTTCCGTTGCGCGATTGGGTGCACGATATAATTGATTCTTTGACGATGGAAGCCAGATACTTTGTCGAATTGGTAGTCGGTGTAATAAATATCAGCAAAGATGGATTCTGAGGATTGGGACCTTGTGAGCTTTGGAATGTTGTCTTCGTAGTTCTCATCGCCGCTCAAATAATTTTCATAATCTGATTCGATGCTGAAAATTAATTTTATCTCTTGATATGCAAATTTTAGAACTTACTCAGATGCCATGTACAGAATATCAAAGTCGTGTTTCTTAAGACCCTTGTCAACTTGTGTCTCTGGTTTCCTTCCTGGCTTCTTCCTTGCTGGCTTTTGCGGCTTATTCTTCACTTTCTTCGGCTTTGGAATCTGATAGATCTTGTTTCTGACTTGCATCAACTCCTTCCTGGTCATTACTGTCGTGCGAAGACGAACAGTCTTTTTTGGTGCCTCTTGTGGTGTTACCGTTGGACAACGAGGAGTGTCAGCGATCAAATTTGTTATGACCTGCTCTTCAGGAGTCATTGGACCATGCACAATCAATCTTTCAAAGTTCTTCTTGTATTTAAAGTTATCGAGATGAACGAGTATTTCCGATGGTGTCATTGGAATATGCATATGCAACACTTCTCCTTTCCTGGTGATTGCTGCCGTGTTTTCTTGATCATCGATGTGAGCTCGGGTGTGTTCCAAATCGAATTTTCTATTGTCTTTAATGATTTTGGATCCACCGCAAATGATGAAATATGCTGACAAGTAGTCCTCGTTGGTTTTCTCCAGGCCCCAATTGTAAAACTCGCGCTTGCCACAACTGTTCATGTAATATTTAGGGTTTATACCCTGCTCCAGCATCTGAAAGAAAAACGAAGGTGACTTGAGCATTCTTATGTATTTTTAGAGACAATCCAACTAGCAAATCGCTGCGGCCGTGACAGTCTAAAATACTGTAGTTTTCCAGGACATTTCCGCTACAAAAAAAAACCCGTAAGGAAGTTTCATGCTTGCTCACTTTTGAGTTCATAAATTGATTAAAGACGCATGGAATTTCTTGCAAAGGTCTCTGCACGATGGGTCGTGGCCTAGCAGAATCTTAGAAAACCTCAGCATTCTTGGCTGCCGCGGCGGCAACGAATTGCTCATTTACTTCGCTCTGCATAAAAACTAAAAACCAGCAAGTTGCTGTTTTACTTCTTCAATAATAAAACTCACCAAGTGCACAATCTCCTTTAACGTCACAGCCTTGTAAAATGACGGATTTCGAGTTAACGAATCAAACACCGGCTTGTTAATTCGAAGGACCTCGGCTAGATGCAAGTTGTAAGCGGTCACGGTGTCGAACGCAATTCTCAAGCGAAGTTCCCATCTGCAAAGGATGCATTTATTTATTTTTCCTGTCTGAGAGCTATTCAGATGAGTTTAGAACTCCAGAAAATGTCGTGAAGAAGATTTTCTGATTTTTTCTTGCCGGCAGGACTTTTTGGAGCTCTCAGCTCGTATGACTAATAAAAAACTCACTTCTTGATATCCACATCAAGTGGGAAAAATTGAAAATTGAACATATCCACCAAATATCGTCTGTTGGTGTATCTCTTCAGTTTGTCCACATTGCAACGTCCAATTTTTTCCCAAATCAGCCAAAAACCATGAATATGCTTTCCAAGACAATGAAAGTAGTAGAGCTCGGAATCGGTGATAGTGCCAACTTTGAATCCTTGCCATGGTTTTATGTCGCGGCTGAAAAAATGAGGAATATGAATTTGTTAAGAACACATATGTGCATTGTCCGCAAACACTGCGCCGCCGTGTTGCGGACACATGTGTTGCCAAATAACAAGAAACGAATCAAAGAAAGATAGCTGAAACCAATTCGATCAAAACATAATCTTCTCTAATTCTATTTCTTGAATTTTGGCGCTTTACATTTTGAATGTATGTATAAATTTTGTCCTTTAACTTCTGTTTTACTGTGTAATACTGTAATATTCCAAATGTAATATTTTGATATTCAACACTTACTATGTAATATTAAAATATTCCAACTGTGCCTCTCGGAATCGAGCTGCCAGATAGAATTTTTTGTTCTCCACGGTTACGGCGCTATATGGATAATATCCGCACTGCATGATTGGGGGCACATAGACGTATGGAATGTCCGATGAGCGAGTGACACGTAGTGAGATGAACGCTTTTCCAAGGTAGAATTCACGAACGAAATAGGAGGTATCTAAGATGATGTCATCGGTTGTGCGTCTCTGAAAATAGAAAGTTAGCTTCGGAATTCAGAATTAGGAAAACATTTAGAACTCACTCTTGTCATTGGCTTCAGATAATACTTGCGAATGACTTGTAGTGGCGCATTGCTCTTTGGGCAGAACGACCAGTGGTTCTTGAATAGGTATGGATCGTCAATGATTCGATATGGCGTATAACACGTAATTCGAGTTGTCCTGATTCCTCCTTTACGTTTCAATTTCTCATCGGGGGTATCCTTGGGCCACCAGGACATTTGGAATTTCAGTCGCTTCTGTTTGCACGAATGTTTCTTCATGGTTCTGCCAAAGTGTAGCATCTTCACCGAGTTATCGTAATCGACACCAACAGCTACAAGTTCATCATGGTGTTTGGACGACTTCTGCATCATGGTTTTCGAAACGTCAAGGTAACTTTCAACGGTTTCCGCAACAGTATATTCTGGCACATTGCGTTTTCCTTTTTCAGGCTCTCGATGATACTGCGGAACTATGTGATTGCTGATTTGTCTTGTAACTCGCGTTCTTTTTTGATGGAGAGCTCGGTATTTCTTTATGGTAAGAGCTTTCATCTTGTATTTCACCGGACGAGGTCTTCCATAGACGATGTGGATGAATCGCCTCATTTTGTGTCGTCGTGTACCTACATCCATTGGGTCTTTTTCTTTCTTCAATCGACGACGAGTGCGTTTCTTTGGTGGCGCTTCTTCTTCATCGATGACTACGCTTGGTTCTCTGGAAGGCGTCCTTGATCGTCTGTTTTGCTTTTTCGACTTCTTCTCCGATCTTCGTGACTTTGGTGGCCTTGTAGCATCTCGATCACTCCGATTTGGAAAAACTTCGATGATATCACTATCCTCACTCCCTCCTGAAACCTGGATTTCTCGAGGTGGCGTCTCTTCCTCATCATCTGCTCCCTCGTCCTCTTCAACAACAACGCTTAACACCTTTTTCGAGAGCTGAGCTCGTTTCCTCCGCTGCTCATTCTGGCTTGAACTGGTGGCACAACCAGAATCGTGGCCAGAATTATGTTTACCTTGAGCCATTTTTTGGTTGGGGCTTTTCACAGTTCTGATGAACTCAGGAGAGCTGGAATCTTGACTTCTTGAACCTGAATCTTGGCTTTCCTCATCATCAGTTGCAAGGACAGCACGATTGTATTTGGTATTCAACATATCAACGCTTGAAACGACTTTTGGGTGGTGAGATTTTTCTATCTTCTGCTGAGGGCGTTGTTGAGGTTTTTTCGATTGTTTCGGAAGTACTGGTTGGAGAAATTCGGGAGAGTTTGAATACCGGTCAACAGTTTTCTGCTTCGATTGAGTTTCTGATTGTGAACTCGAATTTTGAAGTATAGATGTTATTTCTTGCTCACGAGGTGTTAATTGTTGGAACGAAGACTGCGGTATAGATTGCTGGTAGTGATCAACGGAAGCCGAGAGCTTTGCCAACGATGTTGGATATGTTGTAGCCGGTGGTGAATCTTCATGTGAAGATAGTGATGATTGGTGGCTTGATATCGGATGACGAAACGTCACCGAATGTTTTGGGCCTGATTTGGGGGAACGAGGATAAATTGGAATCAATTTTGCTGATGGATTCTGATGAAAGGAGGTGGAAGCACAGGCATCGCTAGTTGGTGGCTTTTGGATTGACTTCTGGATTGGCTTCTGAATCGGAGAATGGCTAGTGGAGAGCCTTGACTTTTCATGACTAACGGGATTTGATTTTTTAGGACTTGGAACTGCCATTGATGGTGGGCGATTCCGCACAAAATGCTTCTTCGGTGAAACGTACGCCGTCTGAAGACTAGCACTGGCCGATGCTTGTGGTCTTTGCCGACGATCGTTTACTGTCAAAATCGCGTCAAGATCTCTGTCTTTTTGCTGCTCACGCTTTCTTCTTTCTCCGTCCTTTTGTTTTTTGTGTTGTTGATTTAGCTTTTGCTTGGGTTGCGCTGGTGATGGAACTACAGTAATTACTGCCACTGATTCTTGTGATGATGATTCACTGAGCTGTCTGGTTCTTCCTGTTTTGTCCATTATTTTTGTTAGATCTGAAAATATTTACTTAATGATTTGCAGAGTAGAAAATTGTGATATTTAATCTAAAGGCTAAAGATTCACCTTATTAGTAGTTGGAGTAAAATGTGGTGGTAGACTTGGTTGCTTAATTCAACATTTTTTGAATCGAATCTGAAGAATTAGGAGTTGAAATCAACGAAAGTATGTTTCAATATTTCTAAGACTCACCTGTTTTTCGGGAAAAACAAATTGAAATGTAGAAATGTGGTGTCGTTGACAACAATGTTGGCAATCAACGTCGTATCTGAAATATTACATTTTCGAAACTGATTGAATAAACGGAAATTGAAAAGTTGAGCAAAGGAAATGTATACTCTAGGAGAAGTAGCTACTATGTAACAAGTGCAAAGGGCTTCTATACGAAGATTGTGGAGATTAGGTTCTCAAGATTCAGTTTTCTCAATGGGAGATAATCGAATGAATAATATATATATATAAACAGAGTAGCGCTTAAGAGAAATATACACCGGAAGTGGAAGAAAATGAAAAGAAACACTACTTTTTCTTTTTTTTCCTGCTGAAGTTTTATTGGTCTAACGGAGCAAACACTTAGTTTTAGAGTGAAAATAAGAGTACTGAATATTGAAAAAGTAATAAAATTTAGAAATTGAGAAAACTAACTGTAGTTATAATAATATGACTATTAGACTAGACTCCGCCCAATATTTCCCGTAAAGTGATATTGATGCGTGGGGGTGTCCTCCCACAATAGTGTGAAAAACGGGCCATAGACAATATTTTGAAGTGTGAAAACATTACTTGAACCTCACTGACCTTATGAGAATGAGCGAAGAAAGACTAAGAGCAGGAATTTAAAGGCACATTTCCATGATTTATGGTCCTTATTCTACGTTTCAGAAACTCAGAGTCGTTAAAATATTTTCAATTACAGCGAAAACCTAATTGCATTATCAACTAGTATCATTCAACTCCTTCTACAGTAGCATAGAAAAAAAAGAAATGAATGATTAAGTTAAAAATTGAGGTCTAAGAATTTTTAAAATGAAGAACCTAAATTTTTGTACGGTAGTTAGAAAACTCTAAGTCCTATTTATTCAAAAATTCTAATTAATAGTGTTGTCATTCACCTTTCAAAACTCAGATCACTATACTACATGTGACTAATCAATATTTTTGCAGTGGGGCGCGTTTGCTCAAGGTCGCCAAACAAAAACCCTGGCCTGAAAACGGCAAGTAATAGTTTTCGTGCAAAAAAAACCAATTGACTTTTCAAAAATAGGGGATTGAGCAAATTCGACCACTGTCTATTAAACCAAAGGCTTTGATCCAAGCAAAGATTCTATTAGTTTTTAGCCTTAAAATAGCAAATAAGAATTTTTGACAAAAACTAATCTTCTTTTAGAACCACATTGAGCAAATTTGACCACTATCCATAATACCAAAAGCGAAACTCAAAGCAAGTTTTGATACCTAAAACTAGACATCGTCAACAACTCCTGCCTAACATTTTGTTCCTGGCGTTCGTTTGTTTTTGGGGTTCCACTAGAGATTTTGTTGATTCGGAGCATTTTTAACCACTAACAAGCGGAGGAAGGCGATGCGTAAATAGGTACAAAGTGGTACTAGATGATGTTCAAAAAGTGAGAGCAGAAACTGATAGATATTTGAATCACAGCTGGATGTTTTGAGATGTTACATTGATGACAGAGGAGGAGGAGAAGGATGAGAAGAAGAAGATTAATTGAAGGAAGGAATCGGAGAGAAAAGAAGTATAGGAGATGATGATCTTCATGGGAAAAAAAAGAAAAAAAAGTAGTCGGACAGTGTTCCAAACATTACAGTTTCACTTTCATAACCCTTCACTCTGTCTCGTCCCTCAAAAGCCAGTCTACTCCCTCTCACTCTCTCTGGCGCGCGCGCCCGAGTCGCCAGGCGCTGAGTCTCTCTTGGCTAGACGAAAATATTTGAAAGGATGGTTGGCGCCGAGGAGAGGCGCAGGGAGAGGAGAAGAAAAACGAAAAAGAAGGAACTGGGAGATAGCGAAGCGTGTAAGGCACCGAATGGGACAGGGTAGGAAGAATGAAAGTGAAAAATAGTCGCCTTTGGGAAAAGGGAGAATAGGAAGGATTTAGAAATGAGAAATGAAGAAAAAGAGAGAACTGCCTTCAATTTTGAATTTCAATTTTAACGTATTAAATTAAAACCAACCTGTTCGTCTCACTCCTCGCTTTGTTTACTCTCACCAAAAGTTTTCAGAGAGTCGCCGATGATAAGATAGTATCTGAAAGTCTTCGTCGTGACAACGATAACCTGTAATAGAAAACAATTGTTGCGTAGTGGAGTGTCGAACGAAAGAAAAAGAGAGAGAGAGAAAGAAAAGGGGCGACTCGGCGAGTGGGGCTGTCATCAGAGAAGCGTCCACAAAGAGGAGATGGTTCAAGTCAAGGGAGAGAGAAGAAAAAGGGGGGAGATGGCCCCGAGAGAAAGAGCCTATGTGTACTTGAGGACATGCGAAAGGATCTTTTCACGATTGGAACAAGAAGGCGGCGTAAATTATTCAGAAATTTTGATGGGAGGATTCTAAATGGGCTCCAGCGAGAGTTAATGAAATTTGTAATCGATTTTCGAAGTTTTGACTTTTTCAAAAATAACTTGATTTTCTAAACTTCAAAACCTAGAAATCGACACTTATGAACAATAAACAGTACTGGTCAATTTCAGTTCAATTTTGGCATTTTCAAAAATCTGAATATTGGTTGTCAAATTTCCTGTCATTTTGAAATTTTTGGAGGGTGTAAAACGGATCTAGATTGAAGCATTCACAGAATTGTTTGAAATATTCTAAATAATTCTACGAATGCAGAGTTTTTTATGGACCAGTACTGTATTTTTCATCATATCACGCAAACCTAGAAAATCATTATTCAAGAGTTAAAAGTCAGGGATGAATTATTGAAAAAAAAGTTCAACTTATAGGGTCATCCTAAAGATGTTAATCTCTCAAAACAAGCTCCTAATTACCGTAACAAAAGCTGGCTGTCACACCACACAGGTGTGCACAATTAAGAATGACCATCAACAGGTTGCGTGCGCGAACGAGCCCAACCAAAACCGATTGCGCAACAATCTTCCCAGATGCCTTCCCGATTCTTCACTCATTTGCCTCCTGTTGCGACTACCCAACGCCCCCTATTCTATTCATTTAACGTCGTGCCCTTCTTGTTCATTGCATCGATTGAGATATATTTTGCCAAGGGCAATATTCTCCAGGGTCACCGAGTATTGCGTCGATGGTCCGTTTTTGTTTGTGTAAGACACGATGGCATATTCTTGCTACGGTAGTTAGAAACAACAAAAACAAGAAGGGGGAAATAAAAGTTCAACGCGCAAGGTGATACGTATGTCTCCCTAGACCCATAACAATGTAAATGTATCCGTTTGGAAGTGTGAGCTTGGATCACACTATCCGGACATAAATATTCCATCTGTATTGGTATACTACTTCTTGGGAAGAAATAAGGTATGGTATTAGACGACAGGAAAACATTAAATATCGTATGCAAGAAGTACAGTATGACTTCTACCAAGTTTTTCAAGTTTTTTTTCGATAACGTCAAGGAACTGTAGAATATAGAGCTGTAAAAATGTGATCAACGTTAAAACCTATTTTTGTCAAAACTAACAGATTCATGAACATATGAATGCAGCCACCTTCACGGCTCAACCAAAAACTAACCCCTACAGTAACCTCAACACCTCTTCTGGTCATTGATCCTTCTTGTTTTTCTCACCTCTATCGATCTGTCCTCTTGCTCGTCTCCTTACGTCGTTGATGCACTCTTTTTTACCACACAAACCAACGTCTTGTTGCATTCCAGAGGTCAAACCGAGAGAGTACATGCGAGACAGAGAGATTTAGACAAAAGACTGGTAGTCGTGAACCACATATATGTGTGTCCTTCAATGACACACATTGATATAGGCAAAGGGAGAGCATCAGCACAGAATTAGAATATGGGTTAGGTCAGTTCATTTGGTTTTTGGGGTCACTGCCTGTAATGTATTTCTAATTCATAATGTCTCAATAAATATTGATGGGGAAGTGAATATCTAACGACGCATATGGGGATCACAAAAGAACAAACAAAAATTGGCTCTTTTCTAGTTTAGAGGTCCCAAAAAAAATAGAGGTCCCAAAAAAAATTAGAGGTCCCAAAAAGTTTAGAGGTCCCAAGAAAAAATAGTGGTCCAAAACTTTAAAATGCACAGATGCCGGAATAATGTACTAGAATTTGAATTGTGTAAGAATTTAAAGTTTTGAGGTCTTATAGCAAAATAATTGTTGATGATATATTTTATACTTCTAATAGGCTTAGGAATGCATATTTTCTGACAATTATCTAAGTCTGAGAGACAGCATAATCACGGAGTCATTACTGTGTTGCCCAAATTTTCCTCATATGTAAATTGGGGTTCATCAGCAAGATGCGAGAGAATTGGAGCTAAAATTGTTAGGAGTAGTCATATCATCCTATAAGATCCCAAAACTCAAACTACTCACACAGTTCAAATACTAGTACATTATTCCAACATCTGCGCATTTTTCGTATTTCAGACCTCTATTTTTTCTTGGGACCTCTAAACTTTTTTGGGACCTCTAATTTTTTTTGGAACCTCTATTTTATTTTGGGACCTCTAATTTTTTTCGGACCTCTAAATTTTTTGTGACCTCTAAACTAGAATAGAGCCCGAAAATTCTAGTCTCTCAGAAAATATTTTCAGCCAGCCAGATAGCAGTTCTGTTGAAGGTAGCTAGATGAGACGCAGGATGCAAAAAATAGACTACTCAGGAAGAAAAATATTTACATCGTTTTCACTTGAAAAAACAGATTAAAAAAAATAATAAACAGGAATTACTCGAAAAAATCAAAGTTTTATTTTTTTTACAGCAAAATCGTTACGGTGAAAAAAACGTTCTGACAATTCAGGTCTCTGCC